TTGTATTTTTAATAGATTTCATATTACTATATAGTGCTTTAAAATTCAGTTAAACCAATATGGCATCTTAATTCAGGCTCTTCCATTATGTAACCCATGCTTCAATAGGAACTTTGTGTTAGTAAAGGTTTTTTTTTTTTTTTCCATTTCAAAAGCATCCTACACTATGTGTACACAGTATACATAGGAATAGTTATTTTAATATTTTCATAATTTAAAATGGGACACTTGCTTGTATACCACAGTTTTCAGTTATGTTTTGTGTTAAGTCATTGTTATATCATTTTCTCTTTGAACTTAGTTCATCTCATTTTTAAGATAAGACTTTTTGCCATAGGGATAAAAAGCACATAGAATTTTAGTATAAATATTTGCATTTAGTTTGGTACAGGATTAAAAAGTTGTGTGCATAAAATCATTGTGTAAAAATAATGCTTATTTGTAAAATGAGTCACTATTAAATTGAGCATTTGAAATTTTGTACAAGGAATCTTTCCAGTGCTGGGAAAGTATAGTGTTTATGACCCTTGCAGTAATAGTAATTGTTGAATTAATATTCAAGCAATGAGAAAATGGGTTTTGCTAATATATCAATCCTCATGTTGCAGTGTTTAAAGTTATGTCACTTGGGGACGCCTGGGTGGCTCAGCAGTTAAGCGTCTGCCTTCTGGCTCAGGGCATGATTCTGGAGTCCTGGGATCCAGTTTTGTATCGGGCTCCCTGCATGGGGCCTGCTTCTCTCTCTGCCTCTCTGCTTCTCTCTCTCTCTCTCTCTCTCTCTCTCTCTCTCTGAGTCTCTCATGAATTAAAAAAAAATCTTTAAAAAAGAAAATAAAGTTATGTCACTTGTTAATAAGAGCAGCTAGTAACAGAATTTTTAGGGTAAGTTTGTCACTCTACCTAAACTTTCTACCTGCTTTTTACTTCTGTTGTTTTGTGTAGAACATATAGCTTATGGGAAACATGGTATTAGAAGGAGGGATGAATGTTTGTAGGGTGAAAAACAATAGAATAGAGGTACTTCTCATCCTCTTAGTAACCTTTAAGCCACAAATTGCGTACTCCATTATGGAATGTAATAATTGATTTTTTTTTGTATTTGCATATTGAGGATTCAGTAACAAAGGTCCTGTTAATTTTGTCTCTGCTTTCTCATAATTTGACTCAGAACTAGAATAAATTTTACTTTTGCCGTATCGGTGAAGTAAATTAAGTAAATGAACCTTTTATGAAGGTAATACAAGAAGATGTTCTCTTTCCTTCCCCTCCCCTCCCCTCCCTTTCCCCTGCTGTTACACTTGCTCTGTGAGATCTTCCTTTCCTCTCACATTGGGCAGGTGCCACAGCTCCTTAGCCATTTTGAGTTACTAAAATATTTCTAATTTTCAGGGCACAATCCACTGTAAGTTATAGAGTCCAGTCTATATTTTATAACCTTGTGGAGCCTACATTCTAGTGAGACAGACAAACGGTAATATAAATAGGTAAACTATATAATATGTTAGAGAGTTTTAAATGCTATGGAGAAAAAAATAGAAAGGAATACATAAATTGTGTGGAGATGATGTGTGACATTTTTTGATAGAGTGGCCAGGAAAGGCCTCACTGAAAAGGTGACTTTTCAGTCAAGACCTATAGAAGGTGATGAACCTGAACCATGTTGCCATCGTGAAGAACAACATTCCAGGCAGAGCTCCATCTGTGCAGAAGCCCTGAGGTGGAAGTGTACATTGTGTGTTGGAGAAACCGGTTGCTACAGCCAGTTGAACAAGGAAGACAGGAACAGATAAAAAGGATGAAGGTAGTGGTGGTGGCAGTAAATTATACAGTGCCTCGTAGGTCATAAGACTTTAACACAGAATAGGAGGGTATGCCTTTGGAAAGTTTTGGCCAGACTTGGTTGATCTGATTTACTTTCTATCTTTGCCTAATTGTCACTTGCAAATAGACTCCCATGGTAGGAGTAGGCTCAAAGGTGGAAGGAGAGAGGCTGTTGTAACTAACCAGGAGAGAATTCTAGTGTTTTGAATCAAAGTCAAGATGGTAGGAGTTGGGAGAAATAATAGAATTTTCAGTTTGTTTCGAAGATAAAATCAACAGAATTTGTCAGCATACCTGGATGTGTGGTAGTGTTGTCAAAGACGAGGTCTCTGCTTTTGCAAGAATGAAGAATGGCATTAACTGAAATAGGGAAGATTGTAGGAGGAGTTCAGGAACTTAGGTTGGGGCTTGTTAAAATATGAGGCACTTTTCAAAGTTATTAGATTCAAGACATTAGATTTCAAAACAAAGACTGTTCAGTAAGCATTTAGTTGTATACCTCTGAAATTCAGGATAAAAAATCTAGGCTGGAGATACAGATTTCAGAATTAAGAGCCTACTGGTGCTGTTGGAAGCCCTAAAAATGCATGAGATCAGCAAATGAGTGGATGTGAGTAGAAAAGAGAAGAGGTCCGAGGTCTGAGTTCTGGAGGACTGGCTATATTGATAGGTTAGGGAGATAAGGAGCAGCACTAGTGGTTGAGAAGGCAGGACCAGAAAAGTTAGGAAGAAAACCAGGAAGTTTGTTACTCTGGCAACAAAACAGTGTTCTATCAAGGAGGAAGAAGTGATCTGTGTCCAGTGTTGCTGGGTCAGTCACATAAGACGAAGATTGAGAAATAAGCATTGGGTCTAGTGATGAGGTCACTGGTGACCTTTGATGAATGCTGTTTCAGAGTAGTGATGAGGAGTAAAAGCCTGTTAAGAAATCATTGACATGGGGCCTGGAAGGGGTAGAGTAATAGAGACCTGTTTTTTAATAAAGATTGGGGAAATGGTATTTGTGATACTCTTATGAATATGATTCAACAGAGAGGGGAAAAACAAATGATCTAGGATGGCATGTGGAACTGCTAGTGTCAGAGAGAGAGAGAATGCAAACTAGTGAAAAGCTATGAATAGCACCTGTCTGGAGATTGTTAGCATTTATCACTCATTTTCTACTCAGCTGTGAAGCCTCAGTGGCAGGTCAGATGCTAGCCTGTAAAATGCTTTGCTTGAATTTGGGTGGAGTCAGCTCTTGCATCCAACATCTCTTCCCCCACACCCGCCACCAAGAATGCCTTGATGTGCAGTTGACACCTTTGTGAAAAGGAAAGGGGCTCCTTATTCCAAACGAGGCCGCCAACACAAGGGCTGAATTGTAGCCCTCACCCGCCTTAGGCTCAGTATTCTTGGAACAGTAAAGGAATCCTACTACCATAAGCTGGGGCCTTCCTCAGTCTTCCTGAGACAACAAGGAAAGTCACATTTAATATTCTGCTGTAATAAACATATCATTTGTCCTGTAGCAAAACAGCATAAATGAGAAGAAAGCAAACTTAAGAACCAGTACAAATTTCGTGTAGGAATCCCAGTCCTTCTGCCAGCTGGCAAAGGGGATTTAAGACGCATCATATACTTTCTGTGCCTTGGTTTTTTCAACTGTAAAGGGTGGGGGTGGGGGGGTCGGCTTCAACCAGTTTCTTTTCAGTCTGAAATAATACGACTCATTAGAATATAGTAATCCCCAACTTTTGTGTATCCCTTGAAGCATAGCATATTTGTGTAAGAACTGAGAAATACCACTGAGGAAGTTTGGTTTTGGGTTTTTGTTTCTGTTGTTTTGTTTGAGTAACAGCACCTCTTGAATTTTTACACAAATAAGCATTAGCAAAATTTGAAGATTAAATTAGATGTAGCAGCACTGAAATTAGTAAGAGGAAATATATAGCAAACCATTGAGGACAGTACAGACTAGTTCACAGACTGTCCAAGTTCTGTCTGAGTCATTTTTGGCTATGGGACATATGGAAAGTTATTTAACGCTCTGAACCTTTGTTTCCTCATCTAAAAATAGGAATGTACTAATAGTACCTACTTCACAGATTTGTAGGGAGGATTAAATGAGTTATGCACTATGCTTTGAACAATTCCTGGCTTGTGGTAAAGATGGAATAAACCTTAAGTAATGTTGTTTTTAGTATTTTTTATTATTATTACCACTACCACGGTGTGACATGTATAGTTTAGCAACAATTTTAGTGAAGTGGCCATATCATAAAAGTCTTTGACACTATAATTTAATTGTATAATGATTATCTTAAGTCACCAAGGGAAAAATTTGCTTGGAAAAAGAAATGCTCTTGAAACAGGTTAAAACCCTTTTTCGTTTGTTTACAAAATTAGGACTCAATTTTATGTTTTTAGTTACAATAAAAATTCACTTAGGGAATATAGCTGATTCTCAAGTGATGACAGAACAGTGAGCCATTATTGTGATTAGTTTCAATGCTGTGTATACTTGAATCATATAAAACAGTATTTATTTAAAAAATATTTTTCCCTACGTAGGCCAAAATAGTAAGATTTTATTGTTGATGTACCTACCTTAAAGATAGGTATTTAAAGCATGCTGCCAACATTTTGATTATACCGTCAAGTTTTCTATACCCTTTCTGTATGAACTATTTTTCAGAGCATACCTTTGATTATTGATAACATCACTTACCTGACTTTACAATTCGGTTTGTTTTATAGAATTAATAAGATACAGTTAAATTATTTTAACTCTACTTGAAAGTCCTATTGTGATTAATGTGCACACTTAAGTATGGGGAAAGGCTTACTCTCAAATGGCTTAAAAAAAAAAGCACTGGGTGTCGGTGTGTGCGTGTATACACAGACAGACATAGAAAGCATGGGAAGGAGGGAAAGATGAAACAGCTAATGGGGCCAAATGCTAACAAGGAGATTCTGGGTAAGGTTATGCTGGTATTCTTTATTCTTGCAGTTTTTCTGTAAATTTGAAATATTTGCACATAAGTTTATACATTTGTATGTACACGTTGGGGCTTATTTCTTTTATATTTATCTCATTGCTCTAGGTTGCTAATTTACCTTTAATACCTAATTGGTTTAAGATGTTAACATCCATTGCTTACAGATACACACATTGATCTTTAATTTCTTTTAAATAGTGCTGGGCCTAAAGGAGATAACATTTATGAATGGAGATCGACTATACTTGGTCCACCAGGTTCTGTATATGAAGGTGGTGTGTTTTTTCTGGATATCACTTTTTCGTCTGATTATCCATTTAAGCCACCAAAGGTAAGAACCTAGATGTCCATTCTTTAATATTTATCCTTCTCTGAAATGCTAGAGATTAAATGTGTATTTATGTAGTCATTTTCATTTCATTGCTTTTCATGAAGTGATACGGAAACTCTCATGTAACCAAGGATTTTAAAACTGAAAGAAATTGATTTCTGCCTTATACAAATAGCTTTATAATCAGCGGAAAGAGGGTTTGTTAATTGCGAATAAAAATATGCTACTTTGCATACCAATAAAGCAGATGCATTTCAGATTTATGTTTTAAGGGAAAATATCCTATGAACCTTCTTTGAGAAACATATGCGGGTAAAAAGTAAACAGAATTAAATAAGAATTAAATAGCTTGAGTTTTGTGCTCAATACCTTACCCTTACAGATCAGCAAAAACTAGCAAACCATAGCAAAGAAGAGGGAAACTACTATTATTTAATCAGCTTACTTTGTGCCCTCTGTAGATACAATGTAGAAATGAGAATGAGGGTGGTTGGGTAGCTTAGGCCTCAGTTGGCTCTCAGTATGAACTGGATGGATAACAGAAGGGTTGAGTTGTGCCTTGTGAGGATTGGCAATTATTTTTCACATCTTAAACATGACAGTTACCTGAGTAGTTTCCTCCTCTCACTTCTCATTATAAAGTGGTCAAGCAAACAGGTAAAAACCGCCAGTATTAAGCCTGAACATAATTATGGTTTAGTTACAGGGACTTCTGACATGTCAGGGGAAAAGTATGTTGTTATCAAGCCTCTAACTAGGATGAAATGTTTTTCCTTTCAACATAGTTCCTTATGTTCCCTACACTATTTAAAATACATGTAGCAATTTAATGCCTGCACTCACCTGGATGCATAGGTGGGGTTGGGGATAGGGTTGAGATTGAGAGAGAGTAAAAATTAAAGGTATTTTTTTGAAACCCAAGCTTATTTCTCCATTATCTAATAAGGTAACAACAGTTCCACCTAGTGGTATCTACCTCAAAATACAGACGCAGAGCTCCCTATCACCTACAGGTATTTACTGTCAACTGGAGTTACCAGTGATCCCATCAGAATTTAAGATCTTTAAACGACTGTCTTATTGAATGTTTTCACGTATGTAGAGTATATCTTGCTAGATCAAATAAAGGAACAAAAAGCCCTTATGTTATTAATACTACAAATTGTATTCACATTCAAAATGACACGTTAAGTGCTGATATGTCCATAACTGCTCAATTTTGCATTCTTTGGTTAAGTTTCCCATATTACAGAAAACAAAACCACAGCAAAATAGCCATGGCTGTATTTGCAAATAGTGATACTTCTTTCCAGATGCCTCATTTTTCTTGAAATTGGTTTTAATGTGGCAGCAAAATTAGAAAAAGTTTGCAAGATGTATTTTTTACAAAATTATTTTTGTGAGGGAAGATTTGTTAAAGAAAGACTCCTATTTTTCTTAGCATCTTTTAATGTAAAATAGAAATTGACTAACAAGAGTTTCAAACTATAGTTCTGTGTATGATTTATCAGTTGTTTTGGTTACTATGGTGATTATGTTTTAATTTAGCATTAATTTTTTTTTTTTGCTGAAGTCTTAGTATTTTAATTTTCTAATCCTTCCATGTTGAATCATTCCTTTTGCCCAAGATCTCTCACACAGTGTTATGAACCACTGTCCAGATCTATGGTTGGACACGTGAAAAAGAAAGAATACTTCTGCTCTTATCTTGGTGTTAGGTATAATTATTTCTATACAGTTCTGCTTATTTTTGAGGTTCAGATAAGGTGTTGAACTTCTTGAGGGATAATACAAATTTAATTCTCTTCCATTCACCAATTATTAACAGCTGAAAGGATTCAAAGTATTTTTAAAAATATTTTTTGAAAATATATTTATTTGAGAGAGAGAGCATGTGCACGCAAGAGCAAGCAGAGGGAGAGAGAGAAGCAGACTTCCTGCTGAACAGGGAGCCAGATGTGGAGCTCCATCCCAGGACTCTGGGATCACGACCTGAGCTGAAGGCGGGGCTTAATGGACTGAGCCACCCAAGCATCCCTAAAGGATTCAAAGTATTAATTGCATTGTGGTTTTTTTTTTAATTTTTTAAATTTATTTATGATAGTCACACAGAGAGAGAGAGGCAGAGACACAGGCAGAGGGAGAAGGCAGAGGGAGAAGCAGGCTCCATGCACCGGGAGCCCGACGTGGGATTCGATCCCGGGTCTCCAGGATCGCGCCCTGGGCCAAAGGCAGGCGCTAAACCGCTGCGCCACCGAGGGATCCCCTGCATTGTGTTTTTAAACCACAGTCTGTTTAGTAGTCAGCTGTCGGTGATCTAAACATATATTATTCCCATAATCTAGAGCAGAAGTGTCTGACAAAAATAAGGCAAGCTACACGTGTTATTTTAAATTTTCTATGAGCTACATTAAAAAGGGTAGAAAAAGTGAAATTAATTTTAATAACATCTAGTACATCCAAATTCTCATCATTTGAATATGAAACCAGTGTAAGTATTCTTAATGTGATATTTTACACTTTTTGATACTGTGTCTTTGAAATCTGGTATATATTGTACATTTTTAGCCCATCTCCCTTCAACTAGCCACATCTTAAGAGCTATAAAGCTAGTATGTGTACCCTACTACACAGAGGTTTTGGAGCTACAGTCTCTTCCTTTTTCTTATTGAATGTTTTCAGTTGAATGCTAGACCACTGGTTTCTTTGTTTTGTTTTTTTTTTCTTTTTTTGAAATTTTCTTATTTTTAATTATGCATCCTTATCAGAAATATACTTTTGAGAACTTCTAATATTTTCTTTCTAGACTCCATCTGGGAGATCATGTAGTATCCTGCTAGTTCTGAAACATCAGGAACTTTTTCTTTTTTTCTCTGCTACTCCATATTAAGAATTAGCCACCCCGTTAGTGTTGGTGAGTGTTTAAAACTTGCCAGTACTTGTTCCTATGATTTATTCTTTTTTTCCCCACATATCTCAGATGTATTAGTTTCCTTTATTCATTACCTCAAGACCTTGCTTGTTTCGTTTTACTGTCTTAGTCTAACAAGACGCTGAACCAGCAGCAGAAATGAAAGGCTGAAAAGTAGACAAGTGATTTCATCAACCTTCCTCTAAGTCCTTGGCCAATATTTTCTGATACATGACAGGACATTAGCTGAGTTGATACTGATCTTTTCTACTAAGAAACTAATGTGACTTTTGTTTTATGGTAAAAAAAAAAAAAAAAAAAAAAAAACTTCACAAGTTCCTTCTTACCTCTGGCACTAAAGCTGTTTTCTCTCACTTGCTTTTCACAGAGAGCTGTATGTGCACACGTGTGCACGGTATATATGGTCATACATACATAGAATTATTGTATCATTCATTTAGCATAAACCAAGCAACCAAATCAGCTACTCACTTTGGTGTAAATTGATGAAGTTCCTTATCTGCTGGGTAAAAAAGGTTTCAGTTTAGTTAAATAAAACCGTCTACTTTTTTTTTCTTTAATTAGGCTCCATGCCCATCGTGGAGCCCAGTGTGGGGCTTGACCTCACTATCCTGAGATCAAGACCTGAGCTGAGACCAAGAAAGATGCTTAATCAACTGAACCACCCAGGCGCCCCAAATAAAATCATTTACTTTTGATGTTACTTAACATCAAATACCACTAACGTGGTATTTAATTAACTCTTCAGTTAAATTATTTTCTATTTAGTATCTATGATGTGTTACTTGTCACTTTTGCTGGTGAGAGTTTTAGTTGGTAATAGAGCATTCATTTTCTTTGTTTTTAATGGAACTGCCTTTAGGTTACTTTCCGCACCAGAATCTATCATTGCAACATCAACAGTCAGGGAGTCATCTGTCTGGACATCCTTAAAGACAACTGGAGTCCTGCTTTGACTATTTCAAAGGTTTTGCTGTCGATTTGTTCTCTTTTGACAGATTGCAACCCTGGTAAGCAAATCTTTATTAACACATACCGTGGGGCTACAGAAACCAGTGTGTTTTTGTGGTTGCTTAACTGTGGATTTGAGAAAGTAAATGCTATTAGTGGAAAGATCAGCGTAAATCATTTTGCAAGGAAATTATCAATGCCATTTCATTTAGAATAGACCAGAAGTTTCACAATAACTTTTGGTTTATTAATGGTGTGCTGCCTATAATTATTTTCTTTCTGTCACTGATGGATTTTTTTTTCTTAATAATGTAGCTGTACAAAGCATGTTTGACAAGAATAAAGCAATGACTGGCACCAGTGTTTCCTTTTCTTGCACCTTCCATGCTACCATGTGCTTTAAAGCAGCCACTTAGTAATGAAGGGCTTCTTAGTCTCCTTTCTCTCTTGGATTACAGTTAGTTGTCTTAGGGGTAGTAATAACGGATATTAAAATGATAGCTGATGAGTTGGACCAGATTATGACATATAACCTCAGAGATAAACTCATTAATACATAATTCCTAACATTTTCAAGAGATGCATACTTGCCACATAGTAACCTGTATAGTTGACTTGAAAAGTGATGTTTAGGTCTGAGATTTTGCATATGTTACCTTACTAAGTGGTCATTTTTTAAAGAAGCTGAATTACCTTTTCTATATATTGGACTAATCACCAAAGGCTTTTTTTAATATCTTAAGCCCAAGAGAGAAAACAGAATTATAAGGAGTGGTGAGACCACTCTAAATGGACTTAATAGGGAAGGTTCTTCAAGATATATTAAGTGAAAGAGCAAGGCACTGGAAAAATGTACATATGCATAACAATATTTTAAATGCTTGTGAATGTGCATAATATCTAGATAGAAATGCTGTAAACTCTATTGCAAGATTTGGGTTTTTATTTAAAAATTACAGTTTTAAACATCCATAAGCAGGGAGACCTATAATCACCATGCATGCTTTCATAGCTGAATAAAATGCCAAGAATATTAGTATTAAAGGCACACATTTTTTTAAAAAAAAACTCAAATTTATTAAGTCAACATGCATTTTTTAGTTAAAAGGGCTTTTCTAATTTGAATATTAGAATATTTATGTTGAGCATTTTAGTCTTGAAAATTCAGCCATTATATATCAAGGTGCTCCTAAAAAATTAGTGTTTCGATTTAATAGACTAGTTAAGCTGTAACTTGAAGACGCCATCTAATCTCTTACTGTTGTTTCTGCCTTTCCAGCGGATCCTCTGGTTGGAAGCATAGCCACTCAGTATTTGACCAACAGAGCAGAACATGACAGGATAGCCAGACAGTGGACCAAGAGATACGCCACATAATTCACAGAATTTGTATGCGGTGTGAAGGAGCAGAAGGCCCCTTCCCACTGTGCTGCAAATCTTTATAGCCTTTACAATACGGACTTCTGTGTATATGTTATACTGATTCTACTCTCTGCTTTTATCCTTTGGAGACTGGGAGACTCCCCAAAAAAGGTAAATGCTATCAAGAGTAGAACTTTGTAGCTGTAGATTAGTTATGTTTAAAACGCCTACTTGCAAGTCTTGCTTCTTTGGGATATCAAAATGTATTTTGTGATGTACTAAGGATACTGGTCCTGAAGTCTACCAAATATTATAGTGCATTTTAGCCTAATTCATTATCTGTATGAAGTTATAAAAGTAGCTGTAGATGACTAGGAATTATGTCATTTGTATTAAACCCAGATCTATTTCTGAGTATGTGGTTCATGCTGTTGTGAAAAATGTTTTACCTTTTACCTTTGTCAGTTTGTAATGAGAGGATTTCCTTTTACCCTTTGTAGCTCAGAGAGCACCTGATGTATCATCTCAAACACAATAAACATGCTCCTGAAGGCATAGTTTCCTGTCGTAATATTTTAAGTCAACCTTGTTAGAGGGTGTGTCTGAGATGATTGTTGATGAAATAAAAATGCGGATATGAAGATTGACTATTAAGGACCAGTACAAATAAATGAATTGTTAAATTGAAAACATTTGAATTCGTGTTAAATGTGTAGAGTTTTCTTTTCCTTAAAGTACTAATGAGAGAATATAATGAGCTTAAGTATGTAAAACTGGATTTTAAGTCATTGATCTCAAAACACATAATGCTTTATGTCGATAAGATGATATTTGAGCAAAAGATAATACGAAATTGTGACTCATTCGGGCATCTGGTATTAACTTACAGAACATTTTGTTTCCTGATTGGTGATGTCCATCCACCATTAGACCATATTGTCAAATAACTTTAATCTGGTAGTGCTTCTGGTGTCATTGGTATATTTTTTACTTTACTTCTAATTGTGGTCTTGAGTTTTCGTGGTGTGTGGTGTGCATTACCATTCTTATTATGGCACTTGGCCAGCAGATACCTAGAGGCAGAGTTGAACACAAAAACCATTGTCTGCCCTGAAGGTAGAATAGAATTCTGGATTATTGTGCAGATGCAACATTTATTTCTCATTTGAAAAAATAACGGAATTTTAAGGGTTTTACAGCTTCTTTTGGTGTTAAGGGTTTTACAGCTTCTTTTTGGTTACAATGATCAAATATGAGACTAGGAGTTAAAATTACTTTGCTGTATTCAGGTTTGGTAAACAGTATAAATGTGCTTATTTTTTTTCATGACTACGATAATTATTGAGGTAATTCTCTCTGGTCAAGCAGCCAAGATTGTGGAATGCAGTGCAGATGTCTTCAGTAGTCCTAAACATGGAACCTAGAGTACCATCTTAAAACTTACAGAATTGGAGTTACTAGTATAAAAATACATTGCTTCAAGCTAAAGTAAAACATTTATAGTTGCATCTACTCTCACTGAGAATAGTGGGCCTCCTACTTGAGTACTTGTCAACAGAAGTCTTAAATCAGAATAAAAATAAAGTTATATTTATATGTATTTTTCACTCCTTCCTTCCTCCCACTCCAACCCCCAATCTCCATATTACAAAAGGAACAACACTAAACAAATGGGTAGTATTTCGAAGACTTGAGGCTTAGGTCTATAAAAACCTCAGAGCCTTGACTATTTTAGGTGGTAATCATCTATACTGGAGTTCAAGTCAGTGTGATGACAGTAGGGACCTTTTATGTAATCTGTGTGCATTTCTGTGCAGGTGAGCTGTAGACTGTTGTTTTTTTCCCCACTTCCAATATGTAGATTCTGCATCCTAGAGTAATGAGCATCTCTCTTGATGCTAGAAGAGCTTTCATCATAATGAATATTAGGGTGTTGGAGATGCTATCATTAGACTTCCTCTATCTCCCTAATTAGTACCACCATCCTTTTTTGCTACTTGTAGGCTATACCCCAAACTCACTTGGGACAGAGAAGAGGGAGCTGGTTACTTAAAAGTGTTTGTGGCTCTTTCACAAACTACCTTTTTTTTTTTTTTTTTTTTTGTACTCCAAATGCTTTATTGTTCTGTTGAGATGTTTACAAATACTGAAAGTCACCCAGCCTGGGGCCCAGCAGCCACGGCCCAGTGGTGGGCAGGGAGGTGGGCTTAGTGTTAAGGCGTGAAGGGCCAAGGCCAGGCAGCTGGTGGCCTGGTCCTCTGCTCTCCATTTCTGTCACCCTTCTGATGCTGAAGGGAGGGCAGCCACACCTCAGGATCCTCTCCCTCTGCTGCCTCCTCTCCTGCTCAGGTTCTCCCTGGAGTGTCTGAGCAGCCGTCCAACCCTGTTAGAAACCCAGCCTGTACAGAACCCGTGTAGCCGCCGTTCCCATCAGCTCCCCTCCTCTTCCAGTCTCTTGACTGGTAGCCTTAAATAAGACACTGTAACTTCTTTGAATTTTAGTTTACTCATATATGAAACAAAAATTGAATTTGATTATTTCCTTATTCTCTATTTCCTTATTCTCTATACTGAGCCCTCAGACTCAGTAGTTCTAATCCTATTACATTTGTTACCCTTTTTCTCTCTCTTTTAGGACCTGGCACAATTTCAAATAGACTGAAAACTAAAAATTGTCATTTGGTTTCTTACCATTAGGTTCCCTTAAAATCCTGAAATTCTTTTTACCTTGTTTCCTATTTCTGAAAAACCATAGATCCATTTTTCAGTTACATAGGTATTCATCTATGAATACTACAAATAGGGTGTGTTTTCCCCCCTTGAAACTTTGCCCTGGATGTAATTTGTGATATTTCAGAACCTCAACTTTTTTCTTACCCATTCAGAACAAATTTTGCAAGTGAAAGTCCGAACGTAACTTTATGAGTATTCAAGAGTCATCATGGCACTGTGCATCGCATTGAGCCTGCAGTGTTTTAATTATGGTCATGTGGCCTCAGGAGCCATATAGTGCGCCACTACATGCCAGGCACTGCTGAGTTACTGATGCACCGTGTCTCTTACTGACTATCCCCTGCAGAGCTTTAGGAGAGGAGACCCTGACCATCTTTGGTTGACAGAGTGAAACTGATGCATACACAGGTTAAATAACTTGCCCAGGTAGGTTACACAAGCCAGTATGATGGGGAAGGTATAGTCTCCAGTCTTCACCAAGTTGGGGTTTGTAACATCACAGTTAGTACTGATTATATATGTGTGCATATGTGACAGCAGACATAGGTAGATTGATAACTCCTGAAAATTACTCTATCGGATAAAGTGCAGTTTGCATTTTAGTAGCATTTTAAATTGTTTTAAAGTCTCAAATGTAACTTACAGAATAAGGCTTTATTAATTGATCCCAGTGAATATGAGATACATTTTCTGCCTTAGGTATTTGTCATGGGAATACTTTAAACATCCCTAATTTCCCTTTGTTAATTGGAAAAATGAGTTTAAATGATGTTATCTTAAATTTTTTTAACTATATGTACGTAACCACAACAGGAAATTTATATTGATAAATATGTGTCAAGCATTTAATGACCATCTTTTTCAAGCTAACGAGATGTAACTTATATAGACATTGCCTTTTTTCTTTCTTTAAAGCAGGAAATCTTAAGGAATCCCAGGGATAAAAAAAATTGTGTAGGCATTTGTGGTTTGACCCTGAAAGTTCCTGTAAGAACTTTGCAGTGTTGGACTTTGAGTCAGCCCACTGATTTGTCCAGGTGTATTGTGACAATACAAGAATGAATTGTAAAATTTAAAAGTCCGTTTCAGTCCTATGACTTCATGTATTAACATGTGTTATAGTTATGTTAATGCAGTGCATTAACACATTTTCCGTTGAATTTATATGGTGGTCTTTGGACAGAATTATGGCATGATGTGAAAACATTATTTTTATAAAACCGCTGCAGATTGTTTTAAGAGGCTGAGATAATGGGTCTACAGTAATCACATTACAGTTAGTGTTCTTTATTTTAGATGAGTAGAATATATAAATAGATTTGTTGCACGTCTAAATAAATTACTAAGTTTTTTCAGGTAATTCCCAAATAAAAAATAATTCATAATTGCATTTTGATAAATAGGCATTATTTGAAACATCAGTTTCATGTAAGTAATTTGTCAACTTTTTTTTGGATAAAGTTCTTCAGTGATATTTACATAGGCCTTTCAAAATGGTTATAAAATGAATTTCTTAAGAAAAAGAATTTCTGAGACTGGTCTGTAAACCAGATTGCCAGCAGTGATGGGTAGTGTTAAAGCCTCGTCAGACAGAGCCAACCTTGTTAACTAGAAATGAAGAGTGATCCTCTAAGGTGGAGGCGTATTACCACACCTATCCTCACTTTTCTCTTTTTCTCCGTGTTGCACTCCATAAACTCATAGGCACTTCTCTGAGGGGAATATCCTGGATTTTGAGTGGTGTTTCTTGTTTAGTTTGCCATCTGCTATGCTCTCAGCTTCTTGTGGTTCCAGTAGTTCATATGACTAGAAGCCCTCGGTGATTTTTAAGTGATAGTATCCTGTGAGTAAGACCAAACCTTCAGAAGCTAAGTTTGAAAATTTAAAAAAAAAAAAAAAAAGGCAAGAGATGACCCAGATTCAGTCACATGGACAGTGTGGACAACCTGTGACGGTATTTATTGTTAATTAGTTGTCTGTGAGAAGGGAGTGAGTTGACCCTGATGAGGAGCAGGGCTCTGGGTCCTAGACCTGGGTATATTCAGAAATAAACAGAACTATGGCGTAGCAAAGGGAATTGGTCAACAAGCCTAGACATTACCAGTGAGTGTATCTGGAGGTACTTAAATTCACGTTAAATCTCCACAGCCAGGTTGCCTTTTTGAAATCCATCCAGTAAGGCTAAAGCCGATTATGCCAGTCTACCCAACAAAAAACATTAAAAGCAGTTTTTTTCCCCCTAAATCCTCCAATCTCTAAAGTTTATCTCAAGTCCGGATCTTTCCATGAAACCTTTCTATTTCACTGTCGTGTACTTTTTAGTCTGTTTCTCTTGAGACACCATGTGCACAAACATCAGATATAATAAAAAGGATTCAAGCCTGTGGTATATTTCCAAGTTGCCAGCAGCAAGCCAGGTGCCTTTCTCGGCAAGGATCCTTTTCTCCTTTTCTTTTTTTCTACAGGAGTGGGTAGGTAGTGGTTGGTTATGCCGTAGAACCCCTTAGCTGACCTCCAGGTCATTCATTCTACGCGTTTTTAGCGCTTGCTAATGGAAGATCCTTTCAAACACCGTGATGCGTAGAGATGAAGACATTGTCACATCCTTAAATAGTTTATCATTTTCTTGTCTGGATAAGATTTTCCCCTCCTCTTAGCAGAGGAGAAAACATCTTTGCTAATGTGTATCCATTTTCTGTTGAATGAGAAATTGAACAGATGTCCCTGCTGATTTAGTTATGAAAATATTAGTATAATAATTTGGTAAGTTTTACTCAACCTATAGGATATTAAACATCCTTCATACTATTTGATGCTTTTAAAA